TCCGTTTACTCAGGTGAAACCGGCAGACTCCTTGTTCCTTAGCATTCAGTGAGATACAAAGCGCTGGAATGGATGGATGCATCTGGAGGCATGCCCAGTGAGACACTGCTCCATGATGACATGTGGAGTGACAGAGATCAGGAGCCGGACCCGCGCCTGAAACCAGTCTCCGGTTTACATGCACGCCTTTGAACGCTTGTCATCTTCAATAAGCGAAAAATTACAGAATTTAATAAATGCTTTATAGGAGCAAATTAAGAAGGTGAACTAATTTTTTTTTTCAGAGCAGTGGAGCTATGATTTATGAAATTATAAAGTGGACTAAAAGTCATTATAATTTTTCCAAGTACTAGAAGCACTTTGGAGTTTTTGTGAAGGTATCATTAAATTTGCTTTATTGTGTCTTGTAATACAGGATAATTTTTAAGGCATGCCTTCTTTAATCTTTTTGTTCTCTTTCACACCTGTTTTCCAATGTTTTTGACAAAGAATCTGAAAATCAGTAATTTTTGTCCTATTTGTTTCACATGCTAGCTGAAGGACAATCACTGCATTGAGGTTATACCTGGCTCTGAAAGACTTTTCTGGTCCTAGAATTTAATACAGTTATTTAGACATTTATATAAGAATTTCATTTTCTAAAATTAGGGGGTAAGCTGAAAAGTTTCTCTACTGAAGAATATTATTAATAAATATTTTATAGGACACTACTTTATGTGTCACATATGTGAAGAAGCTTCAACCATCATCCTGCTTTTTTTTTTAGAAGGCTAATAATGTAATTGCCTGTATATTTGGTAATATATTCACATGGTTCTGTTAAGGCATTATTCCAAACCTAATTGTAACAAAAAGATGTTTCAAACAATATAGCATAAATAAAAACAGCACACATATAGTTAAGGACAGATTAGTAATATGACTCATAACTATCGCTGAAATAATTTATTGAGGCAATTCTTCTATTATCATTATTTAAACGCATGCACATGAGCATAGGTGCACGCACACACGCACATGCACGTCCACACGCGTGTTCACACACGTGCACACCCACACTTAAGTATTAAGCTGTTCATCACTCCTAGCTGTTAAACATAGGATATTAAGAGTTATAGACCCAGATTTCTAACCCATTACATTAAAAGCTCTTCGTACAGTGTTTGGGACATGCTAAGTGCTCTATTTTAGCTATCATCATCATCAGGAAGCAAGCACTAATAGATAATTATTGATCTTTATATACAAGGGAAAATCCAACAATCATTTTTCCACAAAGGTGAGAAAAAATAGAAAAGTATCTTAATATCATATAACCTTAAAATGTTAGCATTAAAATGGACTTTAGACACCATCTACTTCAAGTTATTCACTGTTTCAGAGACACTGAATA